GACATTTGCAAAAACCTTGTAATTAAAACTATTTTAAGCCATCGAAAAGCTTTACACTCTCTTATTTGAGCTGAATAATTTTACTAAAAAGCTACAGGTCGAAAATTAATTTAAAATAATACTTTTGTGCTTATTCTAAAAAGATTGTTATTAATTTTTAATTAATATTAACTACATTTTTAATGTTCGCACTCACTTAGTTTCTCCCAAAAGCTCGCTGTTACAAAGTCTTACAACCTTTAATAAAATGTTGCATACTTTTGTGCTTGAAAAAAGCACACTGTCCGATCGTAAGAAAGCCACCAAACGCTAGATGGCGCCAAACAAATCGCGTAGAAAAGTATGTAAAATTCCTTTGCAGCATGTAAAATACTATTAGCGATCTGTACGCAAAATTGTATCTGATAGTTTCTAGAAAACCATCTACCTATGAACTTATTTCAATCATTCCTTATTTAACCTATTTAAAGGTGCCGAGCTATTTTAAACACCAAGATCTTTAGTCGCTTATCTGATTATACATATGGATATACATATGTGTGTATATCTAGCACATGCAAACGTTGTTGTTGCTTTGGCCTGTAACCCAAATAGGCTGAGGTTGTTGACCCAAATTTTGCAAGGTGCATTGAACTGCTTGTGGGCAGAAAAGCGGAGCAAAAAACGTCACTAGCGATGCGTAAGCGAAAGAGAGCGAAAAAGAGAGTGGGAGAGTGTTTTTGCATTGTGACTTTTGCGTGTGTTTGCTTGGTTAGTTGTAAAATGGAAATGGGTGGAAAATCTAGAGCTCAATTTCAGCACAGTTATCCGGTTGAAAAGGAAATCAAATAAATAACAATAAAATTATTTGGTTTGAAAAAATCATACAGTGCATACAAATTGGGTATACCTAGAAAGTTAATTTATTTTTCAAATGCTTCATTTTAATATTTTAAAATATTTAAAAATATTTCATTTAAAAAATTTATTAAGAGTATTTTTTAAAATAATTTTTTTGGGCTAATGTATACTTAAATTACTTTAAATCAAAAAAAAAATGTCTTTATCAATTTATCTTTGAAGTTATACAAGCCCTTTTAATTTTGTATTTACTTTTTAGGTAAAATACTTTTTAAAATGTTGGAATATTTCTATTTTGTATTCAAAAACGACTCGAAGAGGAAATGCATTTTCTAGAATTTACCCTGGAGAGACACAACCTAAATTCGAATGAATAGCGCCTCCCACCCCATCGCCTCCCCCTCCCACTCCGCCCCTCCCTTCTCACTTTTCTCACCCCTCTGCCACACCTCATGCTCACTCACACATTCACACACACGCCTAGACAATTTCATGCAACGCTGCGCCGCTGCCGGCGTCGCTATCGACGTCGACTGCGACTGCAGCCAGTCGTTCAAGTGCATTTCAGAGCGTTAACCTTTGTGTCTTTGTGTGAGTGTGTGTTGTGTGTCCTAGCCCAACAATTGAGTGCTCTCTTTCAGGTCGGGTCGACTCTCTCTCTCTCGCTTGTTTTCCCTGGCTTTTCCTTTTGGTTTTCCAATTTGAAGTGCAGGCAAGTGGAAAACCTCGAAAGCAAAATGAGAATTGAGGTCTCCCATGATAAAATCTTGGGAATGGCGCAAATATGGGGTGTATGGTATGTATTTTCCCCACTGATAAGTCCAACCGAAATTTCATTTTTTCTGTTTGTTCTTGGAGTTTGCTTTCCCAACGTCTTTCTTCGCCTTTCTTCTTTGGGATTATCAAGTGCACTGGATGTTTGTTCATATAACAATCATAATCATAATCTACAATTGATGCAGGTTAGGATCTAGGAAAAGAAAGAAGAGAGATGGGGGAGGGGGGAAAGTAATGTAAGGTTTTTTATTATCTTTATCTTTTGGTCTCAGATAAAGGAAAATATTAGACTATTTTCTGTGATAAACAATTTCCCTGAGTTTCCATCCTCTCTTCATAAAATGCAACGAGAAACCCCCCAGAGAGCAAAGAGCGCGCGGGATTACTCCCTCTCTTTCTCCTGCTCTGCTTCTCTCCCTCCGCCGCTTTCTCGTGGCCTATGCTGCGTACGCTGCTTCTGCTTCTGCTTTGACATTGAACGGGTTCATTCACATTTGCTGCACGCACACAACTGCAGTGCCCCGCTCACAGATACTCGCACGAAAAACTACACGAAGCATAAACAACAACTGCCGAAGCAAAATGAGAAAGAGAAAAAAACGAGAGGCACAGTAGGCAGCAAAAAAGAAATAAAATAACAGAAATGAAATACAAAAGTATGCTAGAGTGTGCGTAAATAAATAAATATGCTAAATAATGTGGAAAGAATAACAAACACGTTAGGTAATAGTCCCAGAATCAGAAATAAAGAAAGCGGACAGCGAAGAAAAGTCCCCCGGCATTTTTTATTGAAAATTAACATCTATTTGACTATTTCTCTTCGTTCCCGCTTTGGACGTTCCTTCGTAGTAGTCCCTCAAAAAAAGATACAAATAATATCACCTGCCCTCAACAAATTTTAGTTACGAAATCGGGAATTGGGTCATTAAGCCAGCAGGCAATAAATGTGTGAAACTAGTTGGGCTAAGGATAATGGAAGGGGTAAAAAGATACATATGAGTCATGATACAAATTGTGGGTACTTTTCCAAAAGAAAAAAAACTCACCTCTGTTTACCTTAACCAATTAACAGTTGAAAAGATACTGGTAATTAAGGTTAGTCTTTTAATTTAGGGATCTTTAATGTGTTATATGAAAATGTTTTCAAAAAATAGAATATCTTTTAGTTCCTATGATTGTTTCACAACCTATGATAGTTCCTTAAACTATTCTACCTAAGAAAAAAGGTAGGAAGAAGTCTTAGAACGAATTTCTACCAATTATAACCAATTTAATTTAGGCTCACAACTTGAATTATCCAAATCTTAGGCTCTTACGATATTTATAGAACAACATGTTTGTTATCAAAGCTTTTCCGCCATAATTAATCAGCTCGTAGAACCCTAAAGCGGCTCTAAAACTATAAACTACGACCAAGAACAACGAGTCTCGAATAGAGTTTCGGTTGCCAAGTCTCGAAATGAGTCAGTTGGCAGCGAATGAAGTCATTCGTCAAGCTCAATACGCAAAAAAATCTAAATCAAAGAAAAATAAAACATAAAATCCAAGAATCTGTCTTTGAAATAGAGGTCAATAGACAAGACGAAGGTCCGCCGAACAGATCAGGTAGGCAGGCAGTCAGAAATCGTGGCCACAAATGGCCAGGGCGGAAATATGAGCCAAAAACGAGCCACCGCACCACGCGGCGTATGAGCAATGTGCGAAACGCGCTTCCTCGAAGGGAGCGAGCGGGACGGGTGGAGTGCGTGCGAGCGAGATGGCAACGCTCGCCTAACCTTGAACTTCAAAAAAGCGGCTGGGTAACACAAATTTGTAGGCCTACCTATTCAGTTAGACATATATTTACATTCACATAATAAACATATAAATTAGCACACAACAAAAGAGGTTCCACGAAACTCGAAAAGCCGAAAAAACTGGTCCAAAGTCAATGAACTTCTGCTTCTTCCTCTGCAGATCGATTCGAGTTTTTCGGTGGACATACAGTGGTCAGTAGCAAACTTTAAATCATACAAAGATTTCAAGGAGTTATCAGTTGGGAAAAAGTATAAGTGTTGTGAAATACATTTATCTAACTTTTCTTTGAATAAGTGTTGTAAAGTACATTAATCTGACTTTTCCTAGAACCAGTGTTGTAAAATACACTTATCTAACTTTCCTATGAAGTAAAACATTCTCCATTTTAGTGATTTCCCCCACAACCTTGACTTCTGGCTTCTAAAAGTTTCAATTTCCGAGTAATCACTGTGCCTGCGTTTTCGCAACGTTTGAAATTTCAGACGCGCAGACAGTTTAAATGAAAAAACAAATACAAGGACCGCCGAGGGCCAGACGAAAAGAAAGGGATGGCTGATCGAAGGAGGGAGCGAGATCGAGAACCAAGCTCGACTGGCTGTTAACCCAATTCAAGGACGTCATTGAGACATTAAACCCGACTCGCTTTTCGAACGCCGAGTGCCGGCGAATATAAGGGAATAGGGCAAACTACTTTGCCAAGGTTGTGCAGAGTGGATATGGCGGTGATCGCGTGACACGAACCACCCGTGATCGCCGGGAAAAGCTCGGGTTGATTGGGATTCCTTCAGGCGAGACACTCCTCACTGGCAAGGGAACAATCACTGGAACGATCACCGGACTCTGGCCAGAGGTTCAGCTCTTTGGGCGAATGAACTGGCCGGCATTTTCAATGTCACAGACGACAAAGGGCGGCTACAGAGGCCTTAAAAGCAGCAGGAGCCGAGGAAAAGCACTGAGCAAAATATTAAATATATTAAAAACCCATTAGGTAAGCAAGAATTTAAAAGATCATTAAATTTAATTTAACCTAAGCTCACAGTTGGAAAATAATTGCCCTGTAAAGACCTTAAGACCCTTAGCATCCTTGGTAACGAAATGTTTTGTTCTATTGAACTAAATACCTTATCCCTTATATACAATCGTCATCTCACTTTGATTTTCCAGTGCAGACTGAAAAGAATCATCCACAAAGGCCAGCATTGAAATTGAAGGTTTCGTTCTGGTTTGGTGGTGGCTTTATTTTATTTTTTGTGTCTCATTTGCTTTGCCCAGGATTGCGCTGTTGTACATTTTGATTTATTTTATTGCGACGCAATTTAATGCAAGGACAATTCGCCAGACGACGACGCAGGTTTTTGTGAAGGGCAAGGGCCTGTTGCTGGCGAAAAAACAACCCTGCTAAAGTAATTCCTGATCTGATCCCTTTTTTTCCCTGCCAAGGAGGTCAACAGAGTTCAATGTCAGAGCCACGCTTGGTGGTTGGGCATCAAGTTGCACGTGGCAAGCACACTTTTCTGAGGCCACCCCCGCAGCATCGACAACCGCCTTTGTTCCCCGAAGGACACATATTTGATGCACGAACTTACCTTGCAACCCTCGCAGGAATGCACGCCGTAGTGGAAACCAGAGGCCTTGTCCCCGCAAACGCGGCACAGCACCGTTGTGCCATCGAATTCTGCAAAGAAAAGATGCCAATTTAAGGATTAATAACCAGAGAATAGCATTAAAGGATATTGATAAAATTGGTAAGTAATAAGGGGTAACTCTGCTTGAGGGAAGAAATTGTCAGCGGTGAGAAAAAGAATTTCACAATGGCTGAATCATAGCTGAAAGATAGCTCCTTAAAAGATAGCTCCCAATGTAATAAAGTTCCATAACTAACTAATCATCTTACGTCCAAAAGCAATCCACCACTTTCATTATCACTTCCATTTTATTATCGAATGCCATGTGTAATCAGAAGAAAGTCCCCCTGTAGGGGACGTAATACTTTCTTCAAATAAAAACAACGCAATGCCCATGCTGAAGACGAAGAAAGCAGCAAAACAAAATGGGCGAGACAACAAAAAACTTGTTGGTGAACTTGAGCTCGTTCTTGGCCGAAGAAATGTTACGTAACTTTCACCGGCACGTCAGGTAAACAAGAAGAAAAAAACAGGCGACCAAACCAGAAGAAAGTAACAAGAGAGAGAGCGCAAGAACTCGAGAAAGAGCGGAAGAGAAAGACTTTCTTTTGGGCGGAAACAAGTTCTCGCGGCTCAGTGAAAGACTTTCTTCAAACAGGTTCTGTTTTGGTTCTTTCTCCGTGTTGAGGAAGCTTCGAAGAAAGTCTTTCTCCCAGAGTTAGAAGATATTCTAGGCCTCTCTCTGTCTCACTTTTTTTTATCTAACCCCCCCCCCCCCTGCATTTCCTCTTTCTCACCAGCAATCAGACACGCCACGCTTTGTAAACAATTGTAAATGGCAAACAATGTTCATGATCTTCACGCTGCCATGGCCATCATCATCATCATGAACACGATCATCGCGATCATGAGCAACTTGTATCTGTATCTGCTTTTTGCTATTTCTGTGCCAGACTCACACACACAGCCATGGATGCCATGTATATGTGGTTGCAATGCCGACAAGTTCACTGACATTTCGCACTGCAGATCGTTGCACTTTTGCATCGGACAACAATAATAACAGCAAAACAGGCTGCGAGGAGGAAAGGGGTTTTGCACAGATCTTTCGCACGCCACTGACTGAATTCGCTTCAAGTTTCCCGACCGAAAGATCGCTGTATGCGAATATGTAAATATATTAGTGATCAACAAAGAGTTCGGATAAGTGGTGGTCTACTTTCAGAGTTGGCTACCTAATTAAGCTGCAAATGAGGAGAGCTTTAATGGTATAATTATATGAATCAACATCAATGATCACTAAGGATTTTTTTGTTATATAAGAAATATCGTATCTTTTAACTTCTTTGTTATGTATGTGTTTAATTTTTTATAAGTCCTGTAGATGTGATATTTTATTAACACTTTATTTGAAGTTAAAGATAAAGTATTTACGTTCTCTACTTTAAAAAACGATCTCTTAGATAAATTATCATTTACTTGTATCTACCAGATTCAAAACCAGGAAGTAAGGCACCAAAACATCATACTCATAGACGTATGTAGATACAGATACAAATATCTGTAAGACTAGCAGCCGTAATTGAAGTTCTTATCAGAGAGGAAAGCAAAAAAATAAAACAATCACAGCTGGCATGTTTATTTGAACTTGAAAAAAATACATTTCACAAGTTGTCTTTATTGAATAAAATATTATGGTTGTTGTTCGGGTTTCCTTTGTTTTTTTTTATATTTGTTTTCGGGGAATTTCGTGGCACACATTTAAAAATATTTCATGGGGGGCGTTAAGAGAATAAAGAATGCCAGGTTCTGTATCCCCATCTCCCTCGGACTCTGCCTGTCTTTTTTTCCTAATTCGGAACCCATTCGGAATCGTTTGGCTTACGTCATTGCCATTGTGATTTATATAAATATAGGTTTTTTTGGCAAGAACTTGCTTTTGTAATAAATTCGCTCATGGATTACCAAATTGTGTTTTATAAACAAAGGCGGCAAGGTCAGTGGAGAGGCCTCTCTGTCTGCCCCCTCCCTATCCCTGTCTCTTTTCCCACACCTCCTGCCCTCTCTTTCTCTTCCTCTATCGCTGTTTCATCGCCTTGGGAACTTGGAGTGAGTAGTTGCTAATCGGCGACACGTGTAATGGCCTGATAAATAAAAGTTCTGTTTTTTTCGGTGTAATAACAATCCATATGAGGAAGTGGCTTGGGAAGTGCTAACAAGCTATAGTTGATAGTTCTGGATGATCGTAAGGTATCTTAAAACTCTCTGAGGTCGAATTAAACGTTATAGTTGAGGACATAGGACAAGTCCGATTAAGATTAGTCATTCAAGTGAGAGACAAAATGCTAGAAATATTTTTTTTGGTTCCAACTTCATGAGAATTTTTTACTATTTTCCTATTTTGGTCCAAAAATTTCCATATGAGTCAAGTGGAAAGGAATTAAAACATAATAAAAAATAAATATAGTTTTAAAGTATTATTTTGACATATTTTTTTTTAAATTTCATAACTATTTTCTAGATCTAAAAACATTATTTTACCCCACTTTGTAAATATTTTCCATAGAATGTTTCCTGCTGTCTGTGAATTTCTCGCTAACCAAATAATCTGCCTGCCAAATCTATGGGAATTATCTAATACGCACTGCTCACACTCACACATGCAAGCGGAGGCGACCTTGAAAGTTTCATTCACTTCACACGCACACCGATACGGGAGGGGAGGGGGTTTTGGGGGTGTCTGCGAAGAGGTGGAACGGGCACTATCAGAATACTAGAAATAAGCCAAACAAATGGCAGCTCCCCTCACAAACACACCCCAGGAAAAAAAAGAGCACACACACACATGCGAATTTCGACTACTCAAAATATTTATTAATACAAGTGCGAGCGAGAGGGAGGATCGCTGAAGAGAGAGGGAAAGAGAGAGATAGTGCCATATTGGCAATGTTCTGTGTGAGTCAAAAAAAAAAAAACAGACTACTAAATTAAAATTTGACATTGAAATTTTTGCTCTCCCTCTCTTTCTCGCTCAATCAATAAAAGTTTTGCGCGTGCAGGAGCGAAAGAGAGGGGGCGAGAGAAGCGTTCTCGCTCTGCCCACAAACTTCAATGCGGAAATGTTCGGACAGGTTTTTCTGTAGCGTTTTTATTTAGCGCCAGTTCAATGTATCGTTTAATCAAGTCAGGAATAAAAAATTTTTATTCAACATTTTCGTCAAGTTCAAAAAACGCAACTGAGGTCAACTCGCAGTGAGGGATACACCATACACCTTGTAAAGTGGGCGCGTTTTTTAGTCACCTTCGCTGGGGGTTCATTGAATTGCCAACAGCTGCCTAAATTTGCGATTATGCAATGGGTTCTGTTTTTTGGCGGGAATGCGAATTAATGACCTCTCAGTGAAACAGAATTTTTGCATTTTGTTTTTCGGGAAAGGGGCCGAGTGCATTGATCTTCGGGTTTGTTTTGTTTTTCGGGTGCTTTGCACTTTTGGTGGGAATCATAAATGTATTGAACTTTACTGGGGTTACTGCTCGAGGCGTGGGAACGTTTATTTTTTGCAATAAATGCCCACGTGTCACTCATATTTAAAAAAATATTTCTTTCAATTTGGAAAGTATGGTAAGAATATAGAACATTTTTGGATATTCTACATACAGCGTTTACAACTACCTATGTTATTCTAAAAATCCAACAAATTTTCCAAATATTTTAGGCAAATAGAAACCTTGCCAAAAAATATTCCCAGCCTCAACCAACCAAACCAATTAGCCAAAAGTAAAAGTCCCCGAAAAAATGCCCAAACAAAACTTTTGCCCACTAATAAATTGCAATAAGAAACACAAAATTGTTTACTTTCGATTTGTCGATGGACGTTTTCACTTTCAGGTCTTTGGCCGCTTAATAAATTTCTAAAATGCACAAATAATTGTGCCAATAAAAATAAACACGATCGGACGAAAATCAAATGAAATCAAAATAAAATAAAAAATCGAATAGAGTAAACTTTCCAAGTGAGCAAAAGTTCAAGAGCCGCCTACGAAAATCGAAAATCGAAAACCGAAAAGCGCCTGTGAAAAGCGAAGAAAGAAAATAAAATAAAATAAAATAAAGCAAAAGACAAATAAATTGCGGAGAGCAATGGCAAGGCGAACTTTTCTTTTGGACAATTGTAGCGTTGCAGCTTGACTTTCACCGACATTTAACAGGGGGGAGGGGTGGATTTAGAGGGGGGCTGCTCACCTGGAGGAGTCATTAACCCGCTGCTATGTAAAAATGTCAAAGAGGCTTAGACCCGGTTTTTTTCCTTTATTTTATTTTTATTATTTTTTTGCCCGTAAATTGGCCGCGCATGCGCAGTCGCAGTCGCCATGGTGAAAAGTGAATTTGGCCAAGTCAAGCTGCAGTTGGCTTTTCACTTTCGTTTGGCGGCAATTGAAATGCGAGACTTGGCAAACGGATGCACATCGACCTGGCCGAAACCAAAGCAGCAAGAAATTCATTTGCGAATGCGAAAAGAAATCCGCCGATCCGCAATCCACGATCCACAGGGGTAGCAATGAACTTGGAAACCCACTTTGTCATCCCCCCCTCCCCCAACCTCTTTTTTGCCCGGTTTTTCACTTAGTGAAATGCAATGCCAAACACACAAACGCATAAATAAATATCGAAGGCATGGGGAAAAACACACTTTTTCAAAGTAAAGCAAATAATGGTGACGGGAGTGGGTGAGATATGGCCGGGGATTGGAAATTGGAGACATAATCGAGACACATATAAATATTGTTTTGGTTTTCACTTTCGATTTGACTGTCATGCAGTAGTGAGTGAGAAATGCAATTGATTCAAGAGGTATTTCGGTTTAAGCGGTGAATATAAAGATGGTATATTAGGAGTAATTTATTGGGGTTTTTCCAATAAAAGAGTGGTACACCAGTGAATATGAGCTTTATTCTAAGTAAGCTACTTTTTTATGGGTTACCAGTAGTAACTTTCGTAGCGATGATAATTTAATAGCGTTGATTAAAACTTTAAAGTAAAGGGTAATTT